TAAATTGCAAATATTTAAATAAATTCACTTTTAACTGCAATGGCATAGTCTCACTCTGCATTTTTTTAAATCCAAACCTGATATTCAGTATATTTAAGTAACCATACACATATGTGTAGCAGAAATACTTTTATTTACAATTAACTTTTTAAATTGATCAATGTTTTCAGAAAGACCTAAATCCATGACTTTTGTTATGCCTGTGGTATAAATACATTGCGAAACAAAGGCCTATTTATTGTAGCTGCTGTCTATAAGGCCAAACTGTATCTTGAAAAAGATTGCGATGAAGGATAAAAAAAATATATAATAATAGTTTATCTGGAGAGCTGTGAGCAAATTATTGTTAAAACAAGAAAGCCAGATAAGACCTCTTCAAATCTCTTCAGTTCAGCTACAACTGTGCCACATAAGTGTAAATAAAATATATAATACTCTCTCAGTTGCTGACAATTTCTTTAAAGATAAAATCAGTCCTCTGACTTGATTTCTTTGCTTCAGCTCCATCAAAAAGTCCTGCTCTGTGGCCTTAAGTTCAAGGCTGCGAGTCGCCTGTCTCTTGGCTTAATTCTGACATATGTTTTTATTTGTTTGATGGCAGAAAATGTCCGCTCCACAGCTGTGGTGGATACAGGAATAGTCAGAACCAGAGACGGAGATCAACTCTGGCTTCTCGAAATGTTCTCAAAAGCACCAGAGCCTGCAAGTCATTGAAGTCTCCTTCAGTGGCCGGATGTTGCCCCACTGTATTGGCCAGACAAGTGAAGTTGGCAGACCCTGTTTCATGCAAAAAGAAGTCATTTCCAGCAATAGGACTTGAAATGGCCCTCAAAGGTGGTAAGTGGTTACTTACAAACACTGACTGAGACCAGCCGCTCTTCACAATGTCCAGTTACGGTGAATAAGTCTGACTTAAAAATTGATTTTGAATCATTCCTGAGACCAAATCAATTTCTCCTTCTCAGTCATCCATTGTGAAATAAATAAATAAATAAAAAACTAACTAATTTACACGTATTACTGTGTGTGCTGATTGCACAGGACATGCTACACTAGTAAAACTTTGGGATGATAGATATGCTTTGACCATCCGTTCAGAAAATATCTGATGCCATTTTGGATTTCTAGCAGGTTCTGGCAGGCAAAGCTGACTGATTAAAAAAACAATTCCACTGATGATGTGTCACTTACTTGATGTAGGCCTGATCTACCGATGTGTGCTTGGCAGCATGTATAGATTCAGTATTCCATCTTTCTTGTCAACTTTTTTGGTGATGTTTGGTGTTTCTTTACCTCCTCAGGGAGCAATCTGTAGGCACCACCATCCTGGTTATACTGACTGGGAAAGCAAGTCCAGCTCATCTATCCTTATGAAATTCGAGATGTGGTTTTCATGCAGCTTCAGAGTAAATTCCTCAAATCTTTGGCCCATCAAAACGATCGCACTTTCAAACACAAAAGCTGTCACAGCAACAGTTTCATAGCTTGGAGATTTACAAATCAACCCAGTCTTGAAAAACAGAATCAAATAGAATATCATCCTTAGCTTCAACTTGTCCAACAAATAATGATAAAACATTCTAGTTCTGTCAGCCAAAAGAAAGAAGACTCTTGGAATAAGTTTCTTAGACTCGCACACACAACTCCGGCAACTCTTTGGAGTCTTCTGAGGCCGAAGATAAAAAGGTTTGCTGTTCCAACCAACCCAGTATACTGGAGATGACACTGTGCAAGAGGGCGTCTTGGTGGTCCCTTCAGTGTTCTCTCCCCCATAGAAAAAACACTAACCATTCCTGCAGCGTGTTACTGTTAGACCTTAATTATGTTTCTCAAATCCACGTCCAGCTTTTCCTGAGATGCTGTCTTCGCAATGATTCAGTGTGCAGTTCTCACTAAAGCCAAAAGGTTGGCAGCAATGAAGACCAAATGATGCTTAACTTTCACACTCATGCTGCATGGAAATTAGAATATCGTCGTTTGCCTTGAGTAACTTAGATATAGAGGAGCTGACATACTGAGAGTATGTGGTGCCAGAAAAGATCAAAAGTAATCCCTTTGGTAATCTTGTTTTCATTGAAGCGGCACTCTCTTTGAAGCCCTCCTTGTCTGATCGATTTTGTGTCAGCTTTTGGAATTACCCAGTGAGAGTATTAAATATCATGAGACATCCTTTTCCATCCAACCACGCAATGGACTAAAATATAGCATACGTTAGCCCTCGATACACATTTTAGCAAATGGTTTTTCTCTGATTTTTCTGACGCGTTAACATTGACGTGGTTTGCGGACAAGCCATAAGTTATTATCCGTGTGTAAAATGTATTATTCTGGAACGATGTGAATACATGTAAGGCAGCTTTTTCCTTTTTGCCTGCATTTTTTTCCCCCTGTCTGCTCCCATTTTTTGAATCCTTGAATGATATCTTCCGCACTTTCATCATAGACCTGTCTTCTGGATGATTTCCCACTTTCCCTTTTTTCCCCTTCATGGATTCCTTTTTCCCCAATTAACCTTCTTAACCTTAACCCAGTGGATTATGAACACAGCTTGACTTAAATCCGACACCACAAAAACAGGGACCACTGAGCACACACCATCAGTGACAAAAACTGGAGCAGTTCAGAGTGATTACACTCATTCCTGTCTTAAATTAAATTCTCAGCCAAAACAAAAGCTGACAAACACAATATAGTAGTAGTAGTATGCTACTAATATATTACCTCTAAATGACTTCTCTTTTAAGCATTCATCTTTATTTAAAGTGCTTGCAATGTAACTTAACCCAGTTTAAATAACATATCAGCAGGCTGTAAATCTAGCATGTATTGACCAACAAAGCATCAAAAAACACGCAGCCAGACTCTGATTTACCTTTATTTTTTATAAAAAATACACTAGATGGTTTTATTTAGAAAAAAAGAGAAGCCATTAATACAACTCCCTTCCTTCCCCCTGAAATATAACTTTTTATAGTTAAATTTCAATTTGCATAGCTGGATTTTAATAAAGCTCCAAATGAGCAAAATGTGGGGGTAGCTACTGAAACATGCCATGAAAACATTTTTTTTTTTTCACTTGCTCTTTGTTATTTGAAAGAAACAAAAGTGACAACCGTTCTTTGGGAGAAAGAAAAAGCCAAGCAAACCAGATGGACAGCTGATAGCATGAACAAAAGGAAATAAGAGAGCCGCTGGCCATTAATCATAACTCTCGTCTGTAACGTAACAGAGCATGCACTGACAAGCGCAGGCTGCCCTCTTATTTAGAAGCAAATTCTAGAAATTGAAGCAATTACATTTTAAGTGCTCTTTACTTATTTTAGATATTGTTAGCTTGTGATGACATTTTCCTGGGATAAAATATATGGTAAGATCCATTTTGCACACATTGCAGTGAAATATCCATCTGTCCGTCCATAATAGTATCAAAATTAAAATGAGATTTTTTTCAAATACATGCCCCCTGCATGAATATTCTACTATTATTCAAAAGAGCAGAAGTTAAGTTATGTAACAAATATGGGTCTCTAAAATATTAATTCTTGCACACATATTCAGGCGTTACTACTGATTATGTCAATAACAATGACTTATATTTGCTATTATATGTAAAATAAAAATAACATGAAATTAAGGCATACCTTAAAAATATTTAAATATTAAATAATTATTAATTGTTCATCGAATTGTTAAAAGCTACTGGTTGAAGTCAGTGAAAGTAACAAAAATTAGATTATTTAAAATGTTAATGACAACCTACTACCTTGAAATGTTTTGCCGGGGCAAACAGGTAGGAAGTATAAGATTCCTTGTGAGATTTATTCCAACTTTAAACAGTATATTATCAAAAATAAATCTTAACCACAAAATTAGTAACAAGGAAGAAGGGATATTTTTTTATTTTAATTTATGGCAAGTGTTTATTACGGTTTTAAAGTAGTTTGAAACTCATCCTAAATTACTGTGAAATTAATGAGATTGTGAGAAACAAAGTTAAATTTATTATCAACCCAATGATTTATTTCCATCATGCTTTTCCAAACCGGAATATCCGAAAATGTGAGATGGAGGCTTTGCTCATTTAACTTCATAGTAACTGAGGTTTTCCATTCCATAGAAATTAAGATGTAATAATCACATTTTTATTAACTTGTATTATTTTCCATATAATATTATGAAGAACATCACAGCAATTTAAATTGAGGATTTGTGACTGCATTGTGACAAAAAAGACTAGTTTAGCAAGGCACTTTATGTATGAGAATATAAAGGTATAGCCAGAAGTTTCCAAACACAGAATAAAAACATATTCACATTTTGTTTTCTTATCTGACTGTCTGAAATTAAATCAGAACAAACTCCTCTAATTTTGGTGTTAGAATCACCAAAACTATTTAATACCACAATGATGAAGGGAGGACTAGTCAGAACTCAAGTGTATTTCACCATAAGGTACAGGTGAGGATGGTCAGGGTGGGAGGGGCTTAGAAAATGCCCATATCTAATTATTGCAGAACTGCAGCGAAAAGTGCCCTCTTAGGGTCAACATGTCTCCATAGCAACAATTTATTTTAAGGATTTTGTACAGATATTTAACAAGCATGGGAGTTCTGGACGGTGGTGTGATCTCAGTAGTTTGTTTGGTGCAACCCCAATAATTAATAACAATAATAATAAAAAAAAGATATTTCTATGACAAAACACTCACAGACACAAGGCCTACTTATTATTAAATTATTCCAACCATGGGAGGCAGAGCTCTAGCTAACACAAACCTTACCAATGAAGTCTCATGACGCCCTGTTCAATTACAGCGAAAAATATCACGTGCTAAAAAAATAAATAATAATAATAAAAAATCAACTAGGACACAACATTTTTTTTTTTTCATTTTTAGAGTAACAATAAATACACTGTAATCTAAAAAGAACTGCTATAAAGCTGTGGAGGAGGGAAGGTCGAGATGGGAGGAGGCAAAGCTGCATGAAAACTGGGTTAAGAAATAGAAAAGGAAGAGAAAGAGAGGGAGAAAGGTGCTCTGATGAAGACTCCCGCCTCTCTGTCAAGGAAGGCTTATTGTACCGAAGGCTGCTGGCTGTCAGCCTGCCCGTCTGCAGAATCAGTGTGACTGCAGGGAGGCGGCGGGATCTCACCTGGAAGCGCGCATCTCATTTCTCCCGCCTGCATGTTCCACGGATGTGTGTCAAAAGGCTGGGATTCCTTTTCTTATTGTCGGATTAGGCGGCTCGGCTAAATACGAAATGTGCGAACACACATTTCGATCCTAATCGGCGTTTGTTCCAGCTGTCCTTCCACATGAGAAGTTTGACTGAAGCGGACTGAGCTGCTGAGGAAGAGGAAGACTCTTGACTGTTCGCTGGCGGGGAAATCCGAGCCGCTCAATCAAGCCGAAAATAAGGACACTGAAGGTGAGTGATTTTGTCTTTCCAGTTTATTGTCACCCTGCTCTTTGAAAGGAAAACGGAGCTGAAAAAAAAAAAAAAAAAAAGGGAGTCTTTAATTAAAGATGGCAACAGGCAGGTTTTTTTTTTTTTTTTGGTTTTTTTTTGTTTAGCCTGAAGCTTTTTCACACGTCTGACCTTGTTGCTCTCATTAACAGCTTATTTCTCGCACTTCAGCAAACAACAACTTCGACAGAACAGTTAAAAGACTAAGGCGTTCAAGTAAGAGCTAAACTAAACTTAACTCAAAAAGCATGCATAGTCCTGCATGATTTTGGTTTTGCAGATTTAGATTCGAAATCTATCTATCTATCTATCTATCTATCTATCTATCTATCTATCTATCTATCTATCTATCTATCTATCTATCTATCTATCTATCTATCTGTTTGCGGATCAATCAAACACAGTGAGACAATGGTCATTAAATCAGTTACTTTTGGTGATGTGCACAGATGGCATTTAGGCTGGAAGTGAAATCAGCATCTTCAGAAATGGTGACATGTCTTACTGCACTTTTTTCTCCTTCCACTAAACCTTCCATTACAGTGTTTGAACACAGCACTCAGTGAAACCTATGTGGTTGTCCCTGTTACTTCTGCACTTTTTCTATCACATATTGTCCTTCACCTAAGCTTCTGAAAATCTAATTTCCTCGTGCCAGTTGTATCAATAGTTTTTCCCCATGTTTGTGTAGTTACGTCATGGGTTAAGTTATGTTCATTTCAGTTTCTGACTTTTAGGGTTTTATTCGGTAATATATAGGCAATAACCATCAAAACTAAACTAAAATTTAAAAAGTTAAAATGTATTCAACCATCAAAATAACCAAGACTATATGACATAAACTGTAGGCTATTTAAGATAAGATAAGATAAGATGAGATAAAGATAAAACTTTATCAATCCTCCATAGGGAAAATTACAATTATATTATGTCTTAGTTGCTCATCCCACTCAAGAAAGGCTGATATCTATCGAGTCCTAAAATTGGAATATTAGGCATGCTAACATCATCACAGATGTATAAAGAATTTTAAACGCGCCAGTTGCACCTAATTTTATATAATATTTTTAACCCTTGTAGGTAGAAATGGGGTCCAACTGACCCCACACACGTAAAACTTGTATCATTTTCCATAGTCCTCTACGTTTGCCTCAGTCCTCGCTCACACAAGAGTTATTAAAGGAGGTATACAACTGACCCCTGGTCTTTGTGCGGTTTAGGGACCACAGCTGCCCTTGAATTATTAAAATGCAACAATACTTGAGACCTGCTCTAAACAGTTGCCTAGCTAATATTTCTGACACTAAATATACCTTAATATTCATAGATATGCACAATGAATAGTAAGGTATATTCACTGAACAGTAGAACAGTAGAAATGTAGAAATCTGTCGTAGGCCTATTTATTTCTACTCTTTAGGTTGGCTTTGCCAATAGGGCGTCAAGTAGGCTGGTGCCTAGACATTACAGCTTCCCAACCTGCATTTTTTTCTCAAATATTTAAGATATACAATGTGTAAAAAAAATCTGTGAACATCCAGATAATCATGAAAAATCCACAGAAAAATCCACCAGTAGGTTAATTGGCAAATCAGTTGTAAACACCTTGGGACATTTGCACTGAATTGTTCTGCACTGATACATGATTTCAAGCATAGTTTGAAATTCACTTATTGAACTTGTGGAAGCACAGAAAGGAGCCTCAGTGCCCAAAGGTTTTCACAAACCTCTTTCAGAAATCAGCCTAAAATCCTAATATCCTAAGTAGTTGGTGCTTTCCTTGGCACCGGGGCTCAGCGGACTACGGGAAGTTTGTCTGTATTGATTAAAACTCCTCCTGACAATAAGAGCAAGTGCTGGTGTGAGTAAGATCCTCGGTTGCAGAATGCCAGTCAATTTTGTTCTTAAGAGGGATGGTACCTTGTAAGTATTTGCTCACGGGTTTGTTTCCAGCTTCATGTTGTCTAAAATTGCAATTACGTTATAAATCCAGGTGAATGATGAGGACGTTACGTTAGGATGCGACACAAGGCAGAATTCTGAGAAATTACCGCAGAGCGGTTATCAGTGCCAAAGAGCAGAGATCTGGAGACACATTGTTTGGAGATATGGACATGCAGAGAAAGACTTAAGCCAGAAAATTGGTACTAAGAATGGAAGACAAGCAGAAAAAGCAATCAGTGGCAAGCTGTAGCAGAAACATGCAGTTGTTAGTATTATTTTGATAATAAAAATGTTGTCAGGGTCTTTAAGGCGACTCAGAAAGCACGTGCATTTGAGTCTTTGTGTTTCCATTTAAATGTGTGCTCAAAACAAGAATGAGTCATGTAATCATTGACAGAATACAAAAAAAAAACACATATTTTGTCCTCTGTATTGCTTTACATAAAACAGCTGAACCTGTTGCAGTTAGTGAGCCTCATTGGTTTGTTCACTACGTGAAGTCAGAGCGAAGAAAATCAGTTGAGAGTACTTGTAAATGTGGTATATCATCCTAACTCACCATCGTGACAGCCTCACCTTTTTTTTGTCCAACAACATAATATGACTTTAGTTAATATGTGAAATAATATAAAGGAGAGCGGTAAGAGATCATTTGTATTGGGAGACAGAGGTAAAAATAAAAATAGGGGTGAAAGAAAACAAGACATAAGTTGTTAGTACAGTGAGATTATAAAGTAAAATTATAATACATATTGCTGCCATGTCTATGTAGAGTGGGCTGGGATGGTGGAGCGGTTTTCCTTATGCTGGAATTCCTTCAGCACAGAAATAATGTATTTGTTACACACCAACTTATCGACAAATAACCCCCGAATCTTGGAAAAGTCTAGAATTGTCCCCCCAAAGAAATCATGAAAGAAACCCTTGTATTTAAACAATATCAATATAAAAAAGGAAATAGAAACAAAGAACGAAGTAAATCTGCCATTCATCTAAGAAAAAAATAATAATTAATTTTTAGGTCCCCCCCACTATTGTTAGAACAATGGTTCAGTCCAAAGTGTAGGCGGAGCAACAGCAGCGCTGCTGAAGGCTCCGTTAGAGCCGCTAAAGTGAGGAGCTAGCTGTTAGCTGTTAGCTGTGGCTCTGCAGCACTAACAAAAAACCCCTCCAATAAATAAATACTTAAAACAAAAGACATGTAACACGTTTTATTTACTTTCACTGCTCAATAGGAAGAAACACATCGACAATAAAAATCAGCCACAGTTTTTTATTTCATTACTTTGGCTGAATCATGATAAACTGCCACCTTATGCCTTGGAAATCAAAACTGCCACATTGCTTTCATAGACTTAGCTCCTGTTTCTGTCGAAGGTAGCCAATATTTCAATTATTTTTAGCTCTCTTAACTCTTACTTTAATGAGAAGAGTTTGAAATGGGAGGGAGGGGCTGAGCTTTAGCACTAGCCACTAGCTAAGTAAGGGAAACGAGACCAGAGGGGCTACTGCAGCTGACAGTAAAACAAAATAAAGTATGCCTTTATTTCTTACCATCTTCAACGTAGAGCCTTTAAAACCACAAAATAAAATCTGAATATTTTTCTAGAAAAATCTGGTGCTGACCTTTAAGTTTAAGTTATGATACTTCCCAAATATTCAATTCCTACATATTTATAGGTTTTAACATGAGTCCCCCCCCCCCCAAAAAAAACCA